CATCCGCGAACATGAGAGCCTCGCAATTCACTTCGCTGATGCAGTCATTAACATAAATCAGGAAGAGTACTGGGCCTAAGACAGAACCCTGTGGGACACCACTTTCCACCTTTACCCATTCCGAGGTAGAATTACTAACGACGACTCTTTGTAGTCTGGAAAACAGAAAACTCCTGATCCACTTAAACATTCTCCCTTGAATCCCTACATCCCAGATCTTTTGCAAAAGAAGCCTGTGTGGGACACTGTCAAAGGCCTTCTTGAAGTCAAAAAATATGACATCTACTGGAAAACCTTTATCGGTAGCTCGTGTCCATTTCTCGTGTGAGTAAAGAACACTCGTTTAGCAGGAGCGCCCTGGACGAAAGCCGTGTTGGGCATCGCACAATATTTTGTTCTGTTCCAGGTATTTCATCAAGTGTCTTTTGATAATGCGTTCCATTATTTTACACGCGATGCAAGTAAGACTGACAGGACGATAATTTCCGCAGTCAAGTCTTGAGCCTCCTTTATGGATCGGAGTAATGAGTGCGCACTTCCATTCTTCCGGTAGCTCGCCGTCTTCAAATGACTTTTGAAATATTGCGGATAAGGGTTTGCACAGTTCATTAGCAAGTTCGCGAAGTGCTAGGGCGGGAATTCTATCTGGGCCAGGAGATTTGGCAGGTTTCAGCCAGAGTAGCTCGGCCCTAACAATGGCAGATGAAAAGAGTGGTTCCTCGGTTAGGGAGGGTAGGGAGGGGATAGGATGGGGAAGGGTACTGGGAGGAGAGGTTGTTTGGCGAATGGATGGATGGGCAAATATAGCACTAGGTTCTCGGGTGAAGACGGACTGAAAGAAGTCGGAAAGGAGGGACGCTTTAACCTGGCCATCAATCTCCACTTTTCCATCTGCAGACCTGAGGGCAGGGATTAGCTCCTGAGTCCTTTTAGTACTTCGTATATAACCATATAGAATTTTCGGATGCTCCAACGAATTTCGGAGTATGTTTAGTTCAAACTTCTTTCGCAGCTTTGAGGCCTCACATTTACAGATGTTTCGTTGCCGCTTATATTCCTGTAAGTGTTCGTCGGAGCCAGTTAGTCTGTAACGCCTCCACAGACGATTCCTTTTTCTGAATGAGGCCTTCAAGTCCGGGTTTATCCATTTTGGGCGGTTTGTGATTGTCTTCCTTCTAAGAGGACAGTTGGAATAAACAATCTCTTTCAGTAAGGAACTGAAAGTATTCCAGTTATCGTTTGCTCATCCATGCAGTTCAGTCTCCCATGATATAGCTGCCGCTACCCTCCTCATGAGAGAATAGTCACCTTTCCAAATGTTCCTCTCCCACCTCTCGGGTTGGACGGGTTTGGAAAACAATGAGTACTCGAAGTAGAGCGTGATGTGGTCGCTTGACCCTAATGGCTGTCGGTCCTGCAGGTCTAACACGTTTTCCTCCTCTCGGGTAAAAATAAGATCAAGGCAGTTCGACTGCTGCCCTTCCCTGACCCGTGTTCCAAACGTAACATTCTGGCAGAGAAGTTTGTCCGTTGC